TCTATGTGGAAATGGTGCTTTAAAAAAAAAAAAAGAAAGAAAGAAGGAAAGATGAAAGCCCAGATACTTCTTTCATTAACTCTTACTATTAAAAAAATGAACTTACCTCAGAAATTCCTAAATATAGTAATAGTTTACTTTTATCTGGCCTTGGAGAATAAAATGTGCTGCATATATGATTTTTCCACATGACTAACCTTACCTTTTCAAGTGCCACTTCTTTAAAAAGTTATAATATTTTGAAGTACTTCTAAAGTGACCACTTCCCTATCTTCTTAAACAGAGAGTAATAATCAACAAAATCTTTATGACACAGGATCATCATGATGAATGCCTGTTATTTTACTCTTCAGTAATTTACCTCTGTCTGTTTTTAGCTTTTTCTCTCCCTAATATCATATCATCTGCTGTCATTTTTTCTATTTTGAGTGGATTTCCTTCTAAAATATTTCTCTCCACACAGTAATCATATTTACCACATCAAGTATGCTGTGTGCTAATAATGAAACAATCCCATTCCTAATACATACACAGGAAATAAAAATAAATTATGATATGAATAAAAACATAATTTAGTGATACTTTTTTATTATTATTTTCTTAACTCAGAGGCATTTTTCCATCACTTCAAACTTATGGACTGTATTTGGGAGGGGCTGAGACTGCCAAGAATTGGACCTCAGGATAAGGAAAATACTATTGAATTTTTAAAATATGTTTTAAGTATAGAACTTAGTGTAGAAATCTAGCACTGAACAACACAAGCCTATTTTATAACATGCTTTCATCCTATTAACTTTCTCAAGTAGTCGTGATTCCGCAAAAGTAAATTATGTTATGCAGAATTCTCTTTGCTTTTAAAGGATTTTGATAATTCTCCTGCTCCAGGGTTTGGGGTGAAGTAATGTGATGAACAGATCAGTCTTAACAAAGCTACACTAAGCTGTTCACATAGTAACAGTTGTTTGGAGATGGATTTTTATTTCTCAGTTTGTTCGTGGCTTGACTGTCCAAAAGAAAAATAAAATTGAATTTTATGGTAGGTTTGTTGTTGAACTTTATTTAGCTGTGTGGGTGACGCGAATAACACATGTACAAGATTAATTAGTGATTATTTTGCCGAGAAGCGTAACGTGGTGGAGCCATCTGGTGCGTCATTATTGGGAAGGGCGATCTTGATGGATTACTCATTAAACTCTTTCAACATTTTGTTCCAAGATTGTTGGCAGTCCTCTGGATTCTTACTAGGTTAAGGCTGTGCTGGGATTCAGAAGCAGAGGGACCATTGAGAAGTGTAGCTTCATCTTTATCACCAGCAATAAACAGGTCAGCCTTGAGAACACTACCCCCTGCCCACTCTCGATCTCTTAGTGGTGTGTGTGTGCCATTAATCTCACTACTACCTTTTCCCATAATAAAAGACCTACCACAGCCTCACCTCCAAAGCTTATAAAAGTATCTTGAAACAAGATTATGAACATCTGCATTATCTCTGAAGAGCTGAACAAGCTGCTCATCATCACAGCACAAAATAGCTAGTTTGTTCTTTTTTCATTCAGCACTCCGTTTTTCATATGTTTGTTGTGTCCTTGATTCATAAATTGACTTATTTACTCATTCAGCAAATACTGGTTCAATAGCCACTTTTACTCTTGATATGCTAAGTGCCAAGCTAACAGTCTGAAATAAAGCAGACGGTCCCCCTCGACTCCCTGACCTTTCCTCTAAGCATTTTTCCTGTCCTGGAGCCATGTTCTCTGGTGGTCCTGTGACAAAGCTCATGACGTCTATGATCTGATCATGTATGGTAGTGCTACATGAGGAAAACCAACTGACATGCACCCAGCCCTCTAGAAATGTATGATCTCTCAGAATCAGTATCTAATGGATGCAGGAAGGTAAGAACATGCTTATGTTTATTTGCTTCTGATTTTTTTTCTGCAACTTCGTTATATTTACTTTCACTATAATTTTCTAATCTTCATCAGCCTTTTAGCACCCCACTGGTTTCTGTTGTTTATTTTATTTTAGTCACACTCATTCCTATGATTAGAGATCTGAAGCCATTTACTATTTATCTTTCTGGACATCTCAGTTTTCCTTTCTTGAATCTATTCTCGCAAACTTTCTCGTGTGCCATAACTCAATTCTGCTTCTGGAAAGTAGTGCTGATAATATTTTCCTAGGCCACAGATTGCTGGGAGTAAAACAAGATGTTTATTACAAGATAGGTGGGCCACCTGACTTTGCAATTCTAAAACAGATGTAATGTGTTGCCCTAACTAGTGCTACCTGACAGGAGCATCCAGGGACTCAGAATATGAGCAAGGCTGTAAGCACCTGCTCATTGTTATGGGCCAGCAATCCTTATAGATTCTCTCACTATTTCAGTTTTATAAATAATCCACATACACACACAAAATAATATGTAAGTGGCTGTTTAGGATGCTATTTTGGACTGCCAATTTCTCTCAGCCTGGTTGAGGCAAATTTATGCAAGTGGATTTCCTAACAGTGCTTTGGATAAAAGTGACCTGAATTCATGTGCAAATAATGAAGCATAACAGCTACCATCTATTGAATGTCTCCTATGCAACTTCTTTACATATGTTCTTGTTTGATTCTCACACCAACCCTGCAAGGTGGGTTTGCTACCTTTATTAATAAATGGGAGAGGCACACAGAGTTTAAGTAACAAAAGCTAGCGAGTATCTCCAAATGTTTTGTTCTTCCTACAACACCCCACTAGCTCCTGAGTTTCAGCAAGAGTCACAGAACAGGTGGGTATGTAGCTGTAAGCAGCACAGGCTTTGAGAAGGTCTTGACTTTGAGCTAAAAGGATGCAGACATGATATATAGATGGTGAAAAAATTACTCCTTTGTAGCAAACTAACATTCTATGCAGGGAGGCACTTAATTGGAAGTGTGGATAAGATGATGGCTGGGACCCTTAATAACAGTCTTCCAAGGGCATGGCAAAGAGGATGATTGACAGTTCTTCTTTATTATTGACAAATACAACACAGTGAGAGGCCGGAAGTAGAAGTTACCAACTGAAGTGTTTACAGGATGCTAAATGACAATTAAAAGGGGCACCATAGTACCTCATGGCAGATAAAATTTAATTTTTTAATAAAATTAAGAAATAAAATTTATTATTAGCCCACATAGGCATGGGAAGGTAAAGGACAGGGGAAGGTTTCTTACGCTTCACTGCACCATAGCAAGCCGTTTAGTGACTCAGTACTGGCTGGAATATCAAAACTCCCCAGGATGGACAGCTGGACAGATAGATCCACACATTCCTGGAACTACTGTAAGAATTCCCGAGTTAAAGAACCATTTACTTGTCTAAGAAACAGAAATAAATCCATAAGTAAACTGTATATAAAGATGCAAAACAGATCAATAAATCTAACTTTCCAATGGACTGAAAAACTATTGTGCATAGTTCCCTGGTTGCCAGACTCTAAGTTAGAAAACTTTATATTGTCCCTGAACGAATGCAATAGTAACTGTGTTGACCAAATTTTATTAACCATTTTATTGGAAGAAATTGTTGACTGCTATAAAAGGAGTATGAGTATCACAGTATTATGTTCCACCTGTTTCTCAGCCTTCTGGAAAAGTGTAATCTTTTCATTGTCAAATAAACCTCTGCATGGTCCATATCTAGAACACTGAATATAGAGTAGTAAAAACTAGAGCAGTCCAGATGATCACAGGACTAGAGAAGCAGCATAAATGGCTGCTTAGCACTCACTTAATGTAGCATAAGTGGTTTTGGATGCCTTAACTTTCGCTGATGACATCATGTAATAATGATCCATCCCATTAGAAAAATTGCTGATAGTATTGGATTATCCACTATATAGGCTGGGGGGTGATGCAAGTGAGAACACTTTTAAAAGTTTAAAGTGCTAGGGTCACCTGGGTGGCTCAGTCAGTTAAGCGTCTGCCTTCAGCTCAGGTCATGATGGGGGTCCTGGGGTCGATCCTGCATCAGGCTCCCTACTCAGTGGGGAGCCTGCTTCTCCCTCTTCCTCTGCCAGTCTCTCTCTCAAATAAATAAAATCTAGCAGCGGGTGTTATACGAAAACAATGAATCATGGATCACTACATCAAAAACTAATGATGTATTGTATGGGGACTAACATCACATAATAAAATTTAATTAAATTAAAAATAAATAAATACAATAAAGAGAAAAGAAAAGATAAAATAAAAATAAAGTTTTAAAGTGTTATGTAAATGCCAAATATAACTATTTGTGAAAGACTATTAACATAGAGCAAAATATATCCCATCTATAAAACGGAGGAGTCGGATTCTGTGATTTCAGAATAGCCTTCCAGTCTCAGCGTTCCACAGTGTTATGTTCTCACATGCTGGTCGTCGTGCAGTGTGGTTGGTCATTGCATAGTTACTATGTGGAACCAGAGCCACCTTAGTACCCTCTGTGAAAGAGATGGAAAAAGAAAAAATTCAAAGCCAAGTTGTTTAGGATGCCAAGAATTTGGATGCAAGAATGTGCTCAAAAGGTGCTGTGAATTGTGTAAGACATATTTTGAAAATATGACTCACAGACCTGTACCTCTGAAACAAATAATACATTACATGTTAAAAAAAAAAAAAAGAAGATTGTAGGAAGGGAAAAATGAAGGGGGAAAATCGGAGGGGGAGATGAACCATGAGAGATTATGGACTCTGAGAAACAAACTGAGGGTTCTAGAGGGGAGGGGAGAAGGGGGATGGGTTAGCCCGGTGATGGGTATTAAAGAAGATACGTATTGAATGGAGCACTGGGTGTTATACGCAAACAATGAATCATGGAACACTACATCAAAAACTAATGATGTAATGTATGGTGATTAACATAATATTAAAAAAAAAAAGAATGTGCTCAAAAGGGAACAAGATAAAATCCTATACACCTGCAAATCAACATAAAAAAATTTTTTGTATACATTTTTGTTTGTTTGTTTTCATGAAATAGTGGAGGCACTCCATTTGGGAACATTAATGGCTGCCCATGGCTACTTCTTTCCAATCTCGGATCACGTCCTCACACTCAAAGATGATGGCACCTTTTATCGGTTTCAGGTAAGTTTAATGAAAATATTCCTTAATGGTAATATAGAAGTCTGCATTTTGTTTGTTGATTGTTTTTACAAAAATTTTGAAAATATGACTCATTTTATTTGACTTAGTCTAGTTAGAAACTAATTAATGTTAAATATAAGACAGAAAAAAAATAAGCAAAGAAGGAATGTGCTTGGTTATGATGATTTGTGAAAGCTAAACTGTGTGATGATTAAAGTTATGTTTTATATTAAAGCTTGAGAAAAATTCAGAGAGTGGCTTGCTGGAATTCAGGAGGTGGGAGAGTTCTTCTTGTGTAAGCTACATTAGCCACCAGGAAGGAAGCTGAGAAGTATAACTGAATTGATTATACTCTGGACCGTGTCCATGATACAAGACTGTCTTCAGTCCAAGCAGATTCTCATGGGAATGCTTGAAACTCCAATGCAGAATTTAGCTAATTATACAAACCTTCTGCATGTCGGTATCTGAGGCTTCCTACAAGAAGACTGTGAAGCCTGACATGCATGATACTTTGTGTGTGTGCACTCATCTGAGACAAAACTATACCGTAGATAACCTGTAAACTGAGAAGAGTCATTTAGGTCACTTCCAAATGAGACAGATGCTATTATTCTTTCAGAAGTGATTGTGGACTCTGATTTTGGTCCTTGAGCATGTAGTTGACAGTTGAGTTCACAATGATTTACCTGAAGTAGATGCTACATTTCATTAGGCAATATAGTTCGTTAATAACTGGCTGGTGGGTTCTAGCCCATAAAATTAAGGCACATTTAATGCCAGAGTTCAGACTCTAGCTCTTATGTATTTTTAGAGGATTCTCCCCAATGTCAAATTTGTAGACATTGAAGCATTCTTTCTCATTTGTTCTAAATATCATTAGATGTTCTATATCTAAATAAATGACAAAATAATAACTTGGGTGCCAAAGAACTTGGTGGGACAACCAAACAAAGAGGGAATATGTTTTAAAAACATTTAAAGACCTTTGTCTTCCTAGAACACTCTCACTGCCACTTCCTCAGGACCTTTTTATCCAAGGCAAATAGTCACAGGATTTTATGCACCAAATAGTTAGGAGATGAAGCAGTCTCTTGGAATCAGGATACTGACCTAAGTTTTCAAGCAACATAAATTAGTTAATTAATTTTAAAAGGCTTTAAAATAAAGGAACATTATCCTTTATACAGTTAAAGTAATGGTAGCTTAAAATAGCTTATTAATAAGTTAAAGTAATTCATGTTCCTAAAGGTAACTTTTAATAAATAAAAATTATTAGTGATAATTATTAAACAAAATATTTATGTATTTGTAACAGTTTTTTATTTTTTTAAGGGAGTTACTTTTCTGCAGAATTACATTTTCCATATAATCTTACTTTCTTTGAAAAATTTTTCATATAGAGACTATAAGTAAATTTAGGCCTAATAAAAATCTCACAAATTCTGAATGAAAGGATTTTTCTTTTTACAAAAATAACAACTTTTATCTATCTTCATAATCAATATTAAACTAAAATCATCTCTGTGTAAAAGAACATATCTATGAGGGAAGCATTGGATGTAGTCTGTTTATCTCTGGAGAATTATCTAATTTAAAATTTTTCCTTAAAGCAAACTAGCTCACACATGGGCCCAAAGTTTGTGATGGTGTCTTGAGTTAACCTAATTTGCAACATTTAGCTCTGCACTTGTCATTCCCAGACTGAAATTAGTAGGCAGACAAGGTTTACATGTCTTAGTCATCGTCATAAGTCAAAGATATGCAGAGCTGGGAATGGGCCACCATATATTCTGGAGAAAGTAGAGACTGTTTTTAAAGAGCTTTAGAACAAGACAAGGGAATGGGTGCAAGTGGTGTAGGGCAGAAGTTTAGCAAGTTTTTAGTGTGCCTAGGTAGATGATAAATAGTCTTTCAAATTACATTAATTAATGTTAAATATTTTAATAACCTGTTCACATTTGAAATAGGATCTAAATGTGCCATATTTGTAAATCTAATAATCATAGGATCTTAAAACCGAGATTTAAAAAACAAACAAAGGACACTCCAGAGAAGTCAGGGATAATTGAATTCCTGCTTTAACGTCTGTGAAGGCATTAATCAGTTTATATTTGAACAGCCCTAATAATAGAAAACACATTATTGTTCAAGGTGTCCGCTTCCATTTTTGTGTTGATTCCAAGCAGCAGAAAGTTTTTTATTACATTGAGCTGAAATTCAACTTCCTGGGAGGATTTTAAAAATCATGAATTGAAATGGGAAACTTGCAATATCATGTTTACTGTTCCTTCAGTGAATGATTGAGATTCTAACCATCATTAGGAATCTGAAGAAGCTTCAGGGCATGAGTTTGAGACAAACAGAACTCTTCATTTAATCTCACTGATATGCCGCAGTATGTAAATTTGTCTCAATTTCTCAGCACATTTTAAATCATGTGATTTCTGTATTTATTGTAAACTTGCAATTGTCTAATCATACTCTGTTAGCTAGCTGTAATTGAGATCTGACATGATTCTCCAGGTCCTTTTCATGACTTTCATTACATTAGTGTATGTGCCAAAGGTTATTGAGTAATGGCTGGATCAGTTTTATTATAGCTAAAGAAGCCAACTGTGAAAAGAAAAGAGAAACTCATACATTAAAATGTCCTGAAGTCTACTTGAATTTTAAAAGTAAATTTTTAAATTTCAACAAACTATAAGCATTTGTTATTCTTTAAATTCTTTTTTACTATAAATTAAAATGCTTTTCCTAGAAAAAATCTTGCAGTATTTGTGAGGAATGCTGGTTTAAGGCATTTCCACATAATATCACAGCATAAAATAGCTTTATTCTTTTATTTTTAGTCAGGAAATTCTCACTAAAGTAAATGATAGAAGAATAAAGAAAAATTGTAAGAATGCAGTTAAGAACATTCCTTGTGGCTTTGAGAAAAAAGTATGAGTCTGGCCAGTCTGACTAGAATAGAAATTTTAGAAGTTAGGTATGTGTACACACACACACACACACACACACACACACACACACACACCCCTCACAGAATAAAGGGAAAAATGCTTTTGATAAGTATCTCAAAACTAGTGGCCCACAAGATTTTAACTACTTTGTTCCCTGTGGTTCCCCTAGATTCTGACCCAATTTTACCCTCAAAGCTCTATTTCCCAAGGAGTCAAGTGGGATTCACGTGAGAATGGGGCCATAGAAATCCTTGATGTCTTCCTTTGTCCAGTGTTTCAACTCTCCCCACCCCACCTAAATACTTGTCGTCACTTTGTTCACATGTGTAACATCAGCAGATTTCTTTATTATCCTGCAGCAATTCCCAAGAAGGAGTGGAGGGTAAATCAAAATCCCTGGAGTCCTGAGGAGTTTGAAAAGACTCTCCCCTAGAGATTCAAACAGTTCTCCCCAATTATCCTTACCCGCCGCCACGCCTTGAGAATCCTTCTTCCAGTGGGAGAATTATCAAACAGTTAATCAGAGATTACCTCAAGTATGCTCATTACACATGGGTAGCTAATATAACTGACTAATAAATATAAGTAAGCCCACAAGTTTGATGTCTGCAGTCTTGTTTCATTGAGTCCTAGACTCATCATCAAAGTTTGAAAGAGTAGACAGGTGGCCATCCTCGGCCTGGAGCCCTGCATGTCCATCTAGTGGGGCTAGAAAACCCCTATGAGAACATATAAAATGTTGATGATAACAGGGTTTTCCTGACCAGTTTCTTTGTAGTTTTGTCAGTCAGTTTCTAGAATTTCACAGAATGAGATTTCTGTTGATTGTTAATCACATCAATCAATTAAAATTGATTAAAATTAAAATAAAATCAAGTAAAATTCGTTTTTAAAAAAATCACCTCTGGTTTCTGCAGTTAAAAAACTTGAAGCAATAAGTGTTTTTATGGAGAAATATTTTTTTTAAGTGAGACAGAAGAGTTGTTTAAATCTAGTTGGATAATATTGACAGCAGCATTATATAATTAACAAAGCCAGACAAATGATTGCCAGGTTTTAGGGAAAATTTTGATGGTTGAGCATTGGATCTACTGAAGGCAATAATGAGCTACTTGAATCATAGAAAACGATTTGTTATATTTAAATATATTTCATCTGGGGATCTTGCTGAATTTAATAGTCTGCTTTCAGTCTTTGTGGGTTAACACTTTTTTTTTGGAATGATGCAATCAGACCTTTTACCTTTATGTCACTTGACATAAAATTGCAGCAAATGTATGATATTTTAAGTACCTGCTGGTGCTGCACAACACAATACGGAGACTGAAAATTGCTCAGCAAAGTAAATGTAGAAGAAAAGCCTTACAGTGCCTCTTTGGGTACTTTTCCTGGATTACAAAACATACATTATCAGCAGACTATTCTGGATAACTGCTGAAGATGAACACAATTCATAAATCAAGAGCTCTAGGAATTTTGTGTGTGTTTAACTGGGGTTGCACTTCTTTTTATTCCACAGACACCCTATTTTTGGCCATCAAATTGTTGGGAGCCGGAAAACACGGACTATGGTCAGTGTGATATCTCCTTGTTTTATTACGACAGCGAGTATGTATAGATGAACATATGCTCACGTTTTATTGCAAAGAAAACCACAGCTATCAGTGTGGGACCAATATTTCTAACATTAAATTTGTGGATGGCTTTGTTTGGAAAGGGTTAGGCACAAAGCTGGTGGCAACTTTTTCCAGGGTATGGTGCCCCATGCAATTATTAAAAAAAAAAAAGTTTCTTTTGAATAGGTTAAAGAAGCTTGAACAAGCTTATACGAGTTTTTATTATTATTTCCATAGCACCTTGGTCTACTAGAAAGAGTAACAAAGGGGCTCAGAGTTCCAGAGTGTTCTACTTTACTCTCCCACTTAGCTTTGTGATTTGTGATAAATCCCCTGACTTCCTGGGGCTCCATTTTTCTCGTTACTTCAGGCACCATATCATTCTATAAGCAGAAGGTATATTAAACATGGAGAGGCAATCGAAATAAAAGATATAATAGGAAGCTTAATTGTAATAAATCAAGTTTAGTGAACTTAGAATGAACTTCATTCAACAACCGTGATCTTAGTTAACCGTGATCTTAGTTAAGCCCTTTAAGGATGTAGGCCCCTAAAAAGTACCCATCTTTTTACATCTTCCTGAAGCCTACAGTTTTCAAAGATAAAGACTGGATGGTTTTAAAATGTCATTTCTACGAATATTTACTGAGGATTTTTTCCTATGCCAACTGCTGTTGCAGGTGCTGGAGTAACAAGGTGACTCTGACTTCATTCCACATGGTTGGGTAACTCATAGGCTAGATGAGAAGAAAGAATGATACAGAAGGAGTTCCTGTAGAGTGCTGAGTGACTATAACAGTGGTGTGTGCAAAATTATGTACAAGTTTAAAATTAATGAGGGATTGGCTTTACTCTGGGCAGCACAGAATGATTTCACAAAACTGAGAGCCATTTAAGTTGGATTTTAAAGGAGGAGGGGAAATTTGTCAGGAGACAATGCAGTGAATGCATTTGAGGCAGAAGGCCAGCATATGCAAGAACAGTGAGAAGCTTTATAGCAGTTTGGCTTTCTTTGGCATTGTTCTTGGAGAGACATCTTTGTAAGAAGACTGTAGAAAAATCCATGAAAACCAATGGAGCTATCCTTCATTTTTGTCATTTCAGAAACTTGAATTTAGTAGTTCATCCAAGATTGATCAGGCGCCAAAGATTCAAACTGACAGGGAAAAAAAAAAACACCCCAGAATACTTGTAAACTAATAGAGAGAAGAGTTGATTCCAGTAGTGAGAATGCTGATTTATTCATTCAGCACACATTCTTCAAAACTGAGGCACTTAGAGAAAGAAGGTATTTTTAAAAACAACTGATGATTTATGGGGTCTGAGCTGGAGAACTTTGTGGAGATTTTGCCCAACCTGGGATGTTGCCTGAGAGTCATCTCACTAAAAAGTATGGAATTCTAGTGGAGGAAACACTTGGATGGCTGAGGAGGAGCTCATAGAGAAAGACCCACATGCTGGCGGGACAGACAGACCTCAAATGCTATCACAACCTCATGCCAACTGTGTGACTTTGGGTGAGACACATAACATTTCTGAGACCCAGTCTGCTCACTTTTCAAGCAGAGATAATAATACTGACTTTCTTCCGTTGTCTAAATAATCCAAATTAATATGCCTAAGGAAACTGGTATTGCTCCTCTCATATTCAATAAATCAAAATTGTTTTGTGCTCATCATCTTTGCCTGGCAGATATAGTGCCTCTGTTCCTTGCAGAAAAGCAAATTCTTATTCTCAGTGTTTTCTCTAGACATCTTTTGTGTTTTTCACAAATATGTTAGTGTTCACAGTAACAGCTCATGTTTCATTTCACAGTAGATTGATGTTCCAATGCTAAGCCTGAGGAAATGGCATGGCCTACACAGCAAATCATTTACAGAACATCCCTCAAAGTCAGTCATCTCAAAATGATTAATGTCGTTCAGTTTCACATTAACTCCTACTGTGTCCATCTCAGACAGGGTCATCTTCTATTTTATACCCAAAGCTGGAGTGCCTGCAATTTGTTAACTAACCATAGATGTAGCCTTTAATTATTATATTTGGGTTTTTTTCCCCTGAATAAACATATACCCGCTTATGTCTAGCTAGTTATTCAGTAGGAGATTATGAAAAAAAAAGACAGGAAGTAAATAATAATGATCTCAGATACTGTACCACTCTTGCAGGCGATGATGCTGCATCTTCTATAATTTTTCTTTTTAGGCACAAATAAATCACAGCAACAATACAAATTACCCAACTTTGAATTTCCTACCACCATGTGTTTAAAGAACACTGTTATGAAATGCGGATCCCTATTTATAAAGATGATACTGATGCTGTGATGATGTAGTTGGGCTATGGAGCCCAAAGCACAGTGATTACTTATGCTGTCTTGTCTAAGACAACATGGGGGCAGACAGGAGTTTTTGCTTAAAGCAGTCTTAAAGAATGTTTTCTTTCACTATATTAGGATCCCAATGTCTGTTTCCATCAGCAATTTGAACTTACCAAGTAGGTTCTGCAGAACATAAACCTTTACAGGTCAGTTTACATGGAGAAACACTTTTCCATGCTTACCTTGGTCTTGTAGAAAGATAGAATACATTGCTCATGTTTAGGGCCTAAGACAAGCCAGTATGGACTGCAGGGCTATATATCTATGAACACCATTCTTTGAAAATCAAGTTAGGTGAGATTTTTGGTATTTTTCACCCAAGTACAAAAAACATTCCAATCCAAGTCAATTAAAATGAAGTCAGGAATGGACTTCCCTAAGTGTACCTGCATCAAGAATGATCTAGCACAAAGGGCTCCCAGTGAGGGCTGGAGGACAAAGCATGGAGTAGCTCAAGAGAACTGTTTTAAGAAGTAGACACAGTAACAGTGTTGCAAACTGAAACAGAAGCCAAGCAGGATTTTTACTGCTGGCTCTAGGCACACACATTGCACATTGAGGTTTCTATAAATGAGCACACATTCAATGCCTTCAGAGAGTCCCCTTTTGAAGGTGGAGTCTCCAATGTTCAAATAGGACTAGAAGCCCAAGAAATCAAGATTTCCAATAAAGACAGGAGCTGACTCTGTATTTGTATGACTCACCCACCAAATCCTCGCCCCGTCGGAGGCTGTCTTATTTAGTATTTCTATATTTTGTTCAAGATTTTCAAGATTTGTGTTCAAGATTAATTTTTATTCTTCTAATATTGTATTTAAATTTTTTTTCCTGATTGCTGAGTTTTTTGGCACTCCCTTAGCTTCTGCCCCCTAGGAAAGTACCTAACTCATGTCATCCTAGTGGTAATGCAACTGAGACCAACACATGACAGTTGCAGACAGACCTTTTAACAATGGAAATTATTGAGCTCTTTGCATTAAATTGTAGGATGATGATTTGTGCCTCAGAAAATATCCAACCAAAGGTCTGTCTTTCCTCCAGAATGATGTGAAGACTTTCAGGCCTATGAAGAGAGAATGTACTTTTTGCCCTCCCCCCGCCAAGAACACTAAATTCCACTTCTCAAAACCATGCTAAAATAATATTAAAAAGAAACAGGGAATTCATACACTTTTCATAGAAATTATAAGAGGCCAGCAAAAAGAAAGTGTTCTAGTTGGGCAATCACAGCAATTAATTTTATGCTGATATAAATAATCACAGCAGCTTTGATATATATAGTAATTTTTCCTTCAGGGACAGATTTTAAGTTGGTCAGTTAGCACTGATAGATTACTCTATCAAAAGTTCCTTGTTTAGGGGAGAAATTTATGATTAATTAGAGAGATCAAATATACAATGAATGAATTTAAAAGAACTGTGAAGTAAATGCAGAAACAAAACCAAATAGCATATTATGGCTTCAGAACTGTGTCTTAAATGTTGGGTGGCTGACAAAGTAAGTGTGCCTTAAATTATTGTATATTGATGCAGTGATAATTCTATAATATGTGATATTTAAAAATGGAGAATTCAAGATGCTGGGGAAAATAAAAGAACTTCACTTTTCTAAAAGTAGGCATTGTTTATTTCTTGACCTAAAACATTGCAAAGCTTTCCAATGAATCCATCCCATTAATGAAATTGTAGAGGGGAAAGGGAGGTACCCCAGCTTCATTCTTTTTGGAACTTAATTTATATGTTGTTTATTTTATAAGAGCTTTAATTTAAGAGCCTCTACATTTCTACTTCATAGTCCTCCATAGAACTCCCAGTCTTTATCATTCACTTTTGATGAATCTATCCTGGTATACCTATTTTTGAAGCCAGATGTTAGTGGCTGTTAGAGAAGAGATTTTCTTTTTTAATTTCTAGTTTTTGGAGTGGTATAAAAAATTTAAGCAGAATGTACAATCCCATAAACTACCTCAATCCTACTCACAGTCTTCTCTATTATTAATACCTTACATTAGAGTGGTACATTTGTTACATTGATGAACCTATATTGATGCATTATTATTAACTAAAGTCCATAGTTTACATTAGAGTTTAATCTTTGTATTGTACATTCCATGGGTTTTGACAAATGTATAATGACATGTACCCACCAATACTGTGTCCTACAAAATAGTTTGACTACCCTAAAAATTCCTTGTGCTCTATACATGAATACATCCCTCCATTTTCCCTCCTGAACCCGGGGCAAGCACCGTACTTTTTCCCGTCTCCATAGTTTTTCCTTTTCCAGAATGTCATATAATTGGGGTCATACAGTAGGCAGCCTTTTCACATTGCTTCTGACACTCAGTAACATGCGTTCAAGTTCCTCCATGTCTTTGCCTGATTGCATAGCTCATTACTTTTTTATCATGGAATAATATTGCATTGTATGAATATACCACAGTTTGTTTATCCATTTGCCAGCTGAAGAACATCTTGGCTGCTTCCACATTTGGTAATTGTGAATAAAGCCTCTATAAACATTAGTATGCAGGTTTTTGTGTGGGCATTAGTTTTCAACTCATTCAGAGAAAT